GAGAGAGAGAGAGAGAGAGAGAGAGAGAGAGAGAGAGAGAGAGAGAGGAGGGAGAACCTGGCATGTAAGAAGTAAGACTGATAGATTAAAAATGCATCTCTTCCCTGATTTCTTCTGTGTCCTCCCTACCACCTCCCACCCACATATACACACACTAACACTTTCCCTCCCACTCCGTGCTCTTAACGTCACACTTTCTCCCTCTACATCTATTTATACCGATATCTTTTATTCTAAATATCACCCACGTGAATTGACTCTTTCACTCACTCCCTCTTTCTCTCTCATCCAACCTCCACCCTACCCCCGTCAGACCTCTTCAGCCAGGTGGCGTCAGCAGGGGACACATGTGACCAGAGGCAGCTTGGTCTGCTGCTACATGAAGCCATCCAGGTCCCGAGGCAGCTCGGGGAGGTGGCCGCCTTCGGAGGCTCTAACATCGAACCCAGTGTCCGCAGCTGCTTCCAGCACGTATGTTCACACACAGAGACACGCACACGCATGTAACTGTGCACTGAAGGCATGCATGTCAGTGTACTTATAAGCATAACCCCAGTAAAAAGACTCCAGGTTTAGGATTTTGGGACTGTTGGTCAGTCAATTATTATTTTGTGACATTTTATAGACCGACCTTGTCAATCAGGAAAATAATTAGCAGCTTAATTGCTAAAGAAAATAGTAGTTGCAGCCCTAACGCAGCCCAGGGCTAGTTAGGGATTACAATGTTGCACCAGAACCACTCGGGTACAACACTCAAATTTACAACTCGTCTCAAAACGGCCTACAGCTTTCATAATATCTAGTCATTCTTATTTTGATGAAATAGAATATCCACATATTTAGGTAGCCCTGCAGTATAGTGGAAGACCCTCCCCTGGCACAGAGTTTGCATCTGCTACAAACAGAACTGTTGACTGCCACATGCTGCAGCTTAAATAAATTGTAACAAAAACAATGGCTGATATTCCACTTTTATCCCAAGACGACTTCTTTCAAATATAGCCCTTCTTGTCAGACTGTGTTTGACATAAATCAACATCTACGTGACACAGTGTTCGAAAAGCTGAACAAAGATGACATTTTTTATTGTTGTTGCTGTTCCGCTGCATTGTAACAGAGCTGGAACGGTCTCTGCCAACATTTCTGCATCGGCTTCTAAACGTACCCGTGGGTTCGTCTAGCTTCATGTACGTGTAAAGGTTTTAGAGTCGCAGTAACCAGAGGTGGGTCAAAGTGGTCAGTATATTCAGAGTTACATTACTGATAATAGTTTTTGGCAGATAATCAGTACTGTAAGAGATTAAGTTTCAGTGCATCTCCCCAAAGTTAATTATCATTAAGCACCCCAGACTCCTCCATGTCTTCCAAGCTTGTATCACCTGCCTCTCTCAATCCTGTAAAAGTGCTTCAATATTTAAGCTTTGCTGACCAACCATGAAGTCTCAAATGGCCTCCAGTCTTCTGCTGGCTGTCCTCTAGTGTTTTACAGCAGCCAGCTAACCACTTTCCTCTGGTTTATCTCCGCAGGTTAGTGGCATTTAATGACGTCTTCATCCCCCAGGATGGCCGTTTCATTTTTTTCTCACTCTTCCTTCCCTGGCTCAGGCTTCGTCAGTCATAAATGGGAGCCAAACATTGAAATTAGGAAGCTATACATTTCCCTGATCTCCTGCGCCTCTCAAAATAGCAGAGTGAGGCAGTTTTGAACCTTATTTCTTTCTCTTTTCTTCTCAAAATACGAAAAAAATGCAAATTCACTCTCTGGATGACATATTAATACACACATGCACACAGAGAGGTGAGCATGCACTCCTTGATCAGGAGTTGATGTGCCAGCTGTTCAGTTGCTCATTAATCATTCAATAATCAAACCAAGTTTGCAGGTAGAAACCAGACACATAAACACAGACACACACACCAACAGTCACTCTCTCTCTCTTTTATTTAACACATAAATGTGAGCAAAGCCACCTGTGTGTCAGTCTGCCCTGCCAGTGACACTGCAGTCACCCAGTCCATTTGGTTTAATGGGCCTGTGATGAATGAGTTGCACCGCCATAAATATGGCCTCTTTCACTGTTCCTTTGTCCCTCTCCTTCATCCATCCATCTAGCCATCCTCCCAGACATCTCTCCTCTGCAGTAATTAATCTGGGAGTGCTATAATTCTGCCGTTAGGTGACGCGGAGGAGGGACAGGAGGCGACACTGAGACTAACGTATGGGAAAGGAGAGACCTGCTCTGATTGTGCAGGGGAAGGTCACATGGAAGGGTGAAGGGTGTAAAGATGATTTGAGATGTCATCAGGTTGGAAGTTTAATTCTCATTTTTCAACCAGTAATTTGCAGAAGCCTTCTTTCAGGATGCCCTTTAACTCGTCTGAAAGAACCCACACTTAATTAACACTTAATTTTATGGTTTTCAACTTTTCAAAATGGCCACATTATTCACTGAACATTAAAGATAATCACTGATTGATCACCTGAAATGCATTTAACCAGACGATCTTCAGGCCTGAGTATCGTTTGACTTTTTTGACACTAATGCCAATACGATACCTGATTTTTTTATTTTTTTATTTATTTTTTATTTATTTATTTTTTTTTTTTTAGAACTGATTCCTACTTTTAGTAATATGAACACGTTTTTCTACAGCTGAACAAAAACTTCTCAAATGTTCAATGTTGTTTAAATGCTGCCTCATAAATTATATAGAATAAACCTTTCATCAGTGAAGAAGAGCACAAATCCAAATAAATATTTGCCAGTTTTTGGTACTTGACCTTTTCGATATTCGGTGCTATGAACTCATTAAACTTATCCCAAATTAAAGCTCACCAGTGAATGTTGTCACTGTGAGTTGACTGCACACATTGATTAAATAAGCCAATCCCTGATTCCAATTTCCAGGTTGGAATGCGCCTGTAGCTTGTTTTGCAGCATGAATTTATTTTCAGGAGGATATGCTAATAACATTGAGACACTTACAGTCTTGCACACCATAAGCCTTGGGAAGGGATCACACACCCACACATGCACACGCACGTACTCACTCTATGCCTTCTGATTATTCTCTCCTACCGTTTCAAATGTATTCAGCCCTTTGCTCCATTTGCTGCCCTTTTTGTGTGTCAGGGATGATGGAAAGGTCGTCTTTGATTTGTTTAGTGGTAGCAACAGCCACATCAAAGTTTCTCATCCTGTGCTGGCTTTTCCAATGAGCTCATTATAATCTGCAGTCGGGCAAATAGTCTCCTGAAATATAAATGTGTTAACAATGTCTTGTTATGTTTCTCCTTATTGACAGGTTGGTCCTAAAAGGTACAAATGTTGGACAAAAAGTGGACACTGTTGTTTTTTAGCTGGTTGTTCTTGGAGAAGCCTAGATATTGTTTCTCATCCGGAGTATTTAAAACAATAGATGTAGCGCTGTGCAAGTATAGGTTAGATAAACAATTACACCTCAAAGTTTCCACGAGCAGCAGTTAATAATAGGAGTTTGGGGGTGTAGATTACAGCAGCAATATCAATGTTTATTGTTTGATATTTCAACCAATAGACATGGATAGAGAGCTCATAAAAGTTATTTCATCTTGGTCCACAACTCAAGGCCGTAATGTGCCTGAGGGAATCGTCATGTTATGTATGGTCATCTTAAATATGTCTGCATCTTTCTTAGGCTTTCAGTAACAAGCGAAGAGTTACAGTCTGTTTTTCATTTATGCGAATGATGTTGTGGATGTTTCTCTATCATGATGCAAAGTGCCCTTACAGTTTACCAGCTTTGTGGGAACTTCATTGGAAACTGTAAACTGAACTTTTGATTGGAATGCTCCTAACTCTTGGCCCTGCCTCTTTTACACCCAGGTGACCAATAAGGTGGAGCTGGAGCCCAGGCAGTTTGTTGATTGGATGCGTCTGGAGCCCCAGTCCATGGTTTGGCTTCCTGTCCTGCACAGAGTGGCTGCTGCAGAGACAGCAAAACATCAGGCCAAGTGCAACATCTGCAAGGAGTGTCCTATTGTTGGCTTCAGGTGAACACGCACAAAATATAAACAAGTTTGCAACATGTGACAGGCCTCACACCCAAACACAGAATGTGGCTGTGTTCTGTGTTCTCTCCTGGTTAAGCATAAAGGGCAGATCTGCTCTGGAGGGCAGACATTTATCTAAATGTCAACAGCTGATACACCACTGACTAAATACCATCCTCTGGTTTGCAAGGAAACATGCACACATCCTCACAAAGGCAGCAACACGCTCGTACACACAAACATGCGGTGCTCTCCCACATTCACAAAGTTCACAAAGCGCTGATTGGCTGGCAATAATCCATAACAGACCACCCTCTGATACTGTGCAGGACTTACAATCTCTCACACACACACACACAGCTGCCTTTGTTTCAGCTGGTTCCTGATCCGTATCTTAAAGGTATACAGTAACAACAGGTAAACAAAAGATGTGCGTTGCTGATCAACAGCTGTTGTCAATTTATCATACAATTTCGTTGTGCTCTGACCAGTTGTGCAGGGAAAAGCTTTTTCCGTGGCTGGAGATATGTGTAACACTATGCCAAGTGAAGTAGGGTTGCTGTATTGTCCCCTTCAGATTCCTTGCTTTGCCAGCAAAAAGAGAAATACAGTCAGACATTTGATGAAGCACACGTCTGCCAAGTTCTGTCATTGATCGATGAGAGGGAGCAAAGGAGGGAATGGCGGAGAGAAAGAGGAAGGAAAATGCACAGCAGGCATTTTGTAGATTTCATTTTTTCCACCCTTGCAAGTAGCAGTCGTGTTCAAACTAGCATGGTACATGGGATCATCCAAGAACTCAAGCAGGGTATTGTGTCAGCAGATATGTTTACATTTGATAAATGTCAACTCAACCGCCACAAATTGGTGGGATCGTTAACGAGCCAAGAGCCACATTCAACATGCACCATTTCCTGTGCAGTCAAGCAGACTTGTCCTGAACATGCGTGCGCTACATTTGCGTACTTACTGTCAGTTTTGGACCTGCCAACAATAATTAAAATGTAATTGCTTCTCTTACTAAATGTCAGTGAGACAAAAGACCTTCATGGTGTTTTTAATATGACCATTTGTGAGAGTAATAATTTAAAATTGGATGTTGACCTTTATTTTTTAAAGCAGTTTTATTTCTCACTTTTAATCTCGTTTTTTCATGTCATCTTATTGCCATTGTTTAAATCAGTGATTCCCAACCAGGGGTACATGTAACAAATGTATTTAGCTACTCCACAAATTCTTTTCTACACACCCCGTGACAACTGCAGAATTCATTTTGAAAAAATGAAATCGTGATTTTAGGAAAATATATCATATTTGTGTTGTGGAAAATAAACCATCAATATTTCTGTGATGCTGTCACAATCACCAGTAAGCTACCAGCTACGATGGGCTGACTGCAACATACTGTATATATCTCACCAACCTGAGTCAGCTGTAACAGTGTTATTTTTAGTGTTGATGCCCTTATTCTAATTCCTTTGTTCCTATTTCAAACACTGCTTGAGTTGATCATACATTAAGAGTTTCTGCATAAAGGAACCTAATAAAAAGCTATTTTTAACAATAGGATGTCCACTAATGAGGCCAGACAATACAGGGTCTATCATTAACCACATTTGTTAGTGTATATACTCATGAATTAAGGGTCAGCAAATCCAGCTGTGAAGGTGAATTAACGCCCCCTCTTCATAGTAATATGCTACCTGTCGGTACGTAATGGTGCTTTTGACTTGCTGGTGTCGTGTGCGCTGTTGCATCCTTTGATATATGGCAGCCTCTCGTAGCTCATCAGTCAGCTAACCTTGGGAGGGCTGGAGAAGAGGGAAAGATAAAAGACTTAAGCTATTACGTCTGAATGGGCCCTGTCTCAATTGAGCGGTTAAATGGCCTTCTGGCTACAGCTGCTGCTGAGAACAACATCCTGACAGTTGTCACGTTGTGTTTTGGTGGAAATCCAACTGTCTGTCACACAGTCAGCATATCGAGAAAGGGTGTGTGCATGTGGAGGATTGTGTGACAAAGTAACGAGGTATATCGACTGCTTTCCAGGAGGCTTCAGTGTAGCCTGCAGATGAATCGTGTTGTAGGGCTGCATATGTGCTCACACACAACCTTTACATCTTACACAAGTTACATCTACCCACACAACTTCTCAACTCAAC